TCTCGTAGAGCGCAAGCCACATCAGTGAGTTCACATATCTTTGCCGCCCTCCAAAGGTGGATAGTAAATCATCCACGTAAACGATCTGATAAAACCAGGATTGCAAAAGGCAGCGGGCCACTGTCCGGCCAATTATGCCGAATAAGCGAGCCCACCAGAACGATGCAGAGGAGATGCCAAACGTTCCTACGGTGTTTACCCAAATCGTATTTGAGCCCTCAACTGCGCGGCAAGCGAGGAAAGGCCAATCGGCCCGGCGGACCTTACACAGCCGATGTGCAGAAGCCACATCAGCGGAGACCACAAAGGGGACCTCCCCGCACTTGACAGGCTCATCCACCATGTAGGCTATGTCAGCGGGGCCGGGCACTGCTTGCTGACTGAGAAGGCGAATATTATTATTCACTTGCACTCCGTGCGTTCCGTCGTGGAGCGGACGTGCTGAGTTGTCAGGTTTGCGAATGGCACCCAACGAAGCGATTCGAATATTCGCCTCCCCAAATTCCTGACGCAACGCACCCAGAGTAGTGGGGTACATCCTTCCCAAGCTCTCTTCTTCGCGGAACTTTTCAAGCAAGGCCTCCTCTGACTCCAGGGCACTAGAGTAGTTGTCCCGATCCCACTCAAACTCTGACGCGTCTAGACGCCGTGACTTAACCTTGGGCTCGAAAACCTGGGGCACATGGGGGATGGGTGCATCCACCCCAATCGGCACGCCTCTCACGAAGTTGTCCTCTCCTTCCGTGATAATCTCCCAGTCAGGATCCTCAAGCAACTCGGCAGTTGAAAACTTTTGATACTCACGAGCACAGCTGCATCGGCACATGACATGAGACATGACTGTAAAGCTTCTGGGCAAAACAAAACATCCCACCACGAGAAATCTTCACAAGGAAAATACATGGTTAAGAGTCCCATGTAAGACATCGAAATCGTGATCACCCCGCCAAAGGATGATTTGCCGCGTTTCGCAAAGCAGGCTTTCAGAACGATTTTGGTGGGAACTACTGCTATACATGCCCAGAGCAAGACAGCCAACAAGCCTCATATCAACAAGTGCAGAGCAACACTCGGTTTGTCCTTTGCTGCCGTGGGCGGACATACCGCACTCCAGGGCCGCCACCGTTTTGGTGGGCTTTGTACAGGCCTACGGGCACCTCCTAACCTTTGACCTTTGGGCACCTTGTGAGCTCTGAGGCTCCAAGCGAGTCTGCTTGCCAGCTCCGCAAGCTGCAAGAGTATCGGCATCACATGGCTGTGATGGGTAAAGGAGAGGTTGCCGGCCACATGCAAAAGTTGTCAATCTCTTAAAGATTTGAAGGTGATCCAATGCAATTCAAGAAAATTGCACACAAGCTCGGGTACAGTGGTACCAGCCAGTGACTGCATCCACAAGAGGCATCATGAGCATTTCAAGAAATTGCTTCTATCAAATTCGGGTTCATTTAAACACACATGCAACGAATAGTTGTCGGTCATCGTGATTGGGCTCATTTTCACGTATCATCGTGCGGTTCTGGCTCCGGAAGGTTCTGAGGCACTGGATTTGGGATCTGCTGACCACCCACATGAAGGATGTGGAACATGGCAGCCAAGCGGGCAATGTCCTGGCGACGCCCGAGCTCTCTGGCCCAAAACTGGCATAACTGACACATGCTGTACTGACCAGGAAACTCAAGCTGCAACTGGCGATATAGCAGCCTGCGAACATATCGCGCCCTCATCAAACCATCGCAATCCCCAATGAGATGAAAGCGGGTCCCACTCACTGGGGCAATCCATACCTCAGCATCCTCCCTCACCTGAAGGATGTCATCATCCTGTAGCAGTGGCTGCTGCACTTCTGCTGGCTGACCTGCAGGGATCAGCTGCATGGCTGGCATCACACATCGATGGCTGCTGCTTCACCAACCATCTCATAAAGTGCAACCAGCTCTGCCTGGTTTTGGTAGGCTGGTCCATGGCCTCCAGGATACACGTCGTCATCGTCATCTTCTGGTTCTGAGTCTGGCTGCTCAGATTCGTGCTCAGAGTCACTCGGTGTCGCAGGCGGCGATCGACCGAGGATTTCTGCACGAGTTCGTGGCGAATAATGTTGTAAGCCTAGACTTTCACGGCTACTTTCTGATGTGGTGTCAAGGTTCTCTGCAAGAGCAGGCGCTTCGGCTAGCAATGGTTGCTCAGCCTCTGTTGCTTCAAGCCTAAACCAACTACGTACCCACCTAACTAAGGGCCACTCCAAAAGGGATGCAAAGTTCATGTTGGCGCTGGCACGGCCAAGCATGAATGCGATGCAAACTGTTAAGGTGACAACGAAGGCAAAGCTGGTCCATGGGTATGCATCCTCGCCTGCTGATGCGGGCGAGTCAGGCACAAACTGTGCTCGGTCCTCATCATCCGCAGCCTTGTTACCCACGACCTGAACCAGCAATGCAAGAAGATGCAACGCCTCGGCATTCCCCCGACCTGTGCTCCTCACAGCACGAAGAAACTTCTTTGCCTGCTCACGGCGTTGTAGTTCCTCAAACTCAGTTGTCCCGACCAATGAAAATCCATCGTGTGAATCACGGATTCCAAGGATGTGGCTCAAGGTACGGACACGGGCTCCTGTCAAGGACTTTGTAAACAAATCAGCAGGATTTGTCAGGGTCGGTACTGCGTGTAGCGACGCTTTCTTCCACTTGAACAAGAAATCCTGCAACCATAACAAGCGTCCGGAGATATGGCGAAGACGTCCGCATCCCTGCCTTCCCATGATCCCCCGAGCTGCGCTGGAATCTGTGAACAGGTGCATGGACACATCAACACGCATGATGTGCTGCAGGGCACTGCGAAGGAGGATGCCGTCGCATGTAGCACTCACGCATGCGATATATTCACTCTCTCCACTGCTTAAACTCACGCAGCTCTGGCTTCTGGAAAAGGTGTGAATCACCATCCCATCGAAGGCTATGCATCCGGCACTGGTGCTCTTTCGTGTTGATTTGTTCCCTGACCAATCAGCATCAGCGAACACCTCCAAGGTGTGGGTCTCATCTCGGACAACCAGGCCGATGCCTTTGCCCTCAGTCCGAAGGCAAGTGACATGATTCTCGTGGAAGAACATGTAGTTCACCAGGTGGCGCAGACACCGCCATGCACCCTCATTGGGACTCCCACACATGCTGCTCAATGTCTTTATTGCATACTGTGCAGCAGGATAATCGCTTGACACATAAAGCAGCACCCCAATGCACTTTCTGTAGATTCCTGACTTCTCCTCATCAAGCGGCGTTAGCTGTGTCCATAAAGGAAGCGTGCCTGTTGGTAAAGGACTGTCCTTTGGGCGCTGTGCGGCGACGCCAAGGATTCTTGCAAGATCTACGACGTGCTTAGGGTTTGGGCTAATGCAGAAAACATCACCCTTGACCCATCTGTGTCTTCGTTTTCAGAAACTGACCTCATCATCGGGTTGTCTCAAAAAGGAAATTGTGCAGCGATACCTGGACTTCACACACTCACTGAGTCTCTGCATGGTCGGATCGGACCCGACTGCAAAAAGATCATCAACGTGGCAAAGACCCCCGCCTCCCCCGCCATGGCCCTCATCTGAACCTCCAGGAATGGAGAACAGTGCTGGGGCTTCCACCAGCGGTTCAATGGCCATTTCCTTTATCAGGTGTGCTTGAAACGCTTGGAACCAATCCTTGGCTCCTGAGCGTTGGCCTGGGAGGTTTCGGAGTAGCTTGTAGTATCTTTGCTCACCTCTCACCCATATGGTAACGATGGTATCGACGGCTTGCGGAACCGTCAGATAAGCATCTGCAACGTCCAAAGATAGGGCTGTCCAGCCCTCAGGCTGACGTGCAACAAGCGCAGCTGGCAGCACACGAAGAAGTGCATTCGACGATGCAGGTGCAAACACCTCGTTGTCCACCATGGCACTGAGCCACCTGAACTCACGGGCGACAAAACGGGCCCGACGAAGGAAAGCTTCTCCACCTCCCTTCGGCGATGGTTTCACTCTCCAAGTTTTGACCATTTTTGTGCTTAGACGCTTAAACCCGCTGAAGTCAGCTGTGGCAGGTAGCCTTTCAAGAACATTCATGGTTTCAAGTCGGGCTAACTCGAATGCTTCAGCTATGTCGTCAATGTGAGCCAATTCTTCACTTGACAGCTGAGGCTCACCGGCCCCAAAAGGCCTCCACAACTCTTCAGGGATGTTCTTGGCATCTTCGAAATTGTCGGTTGCATTCCAAGCAGGCGGATCCTCAACTGACTCGTTGAGGTCAGTGTCTGACCCAAGGCCTAGGTCTTCTAAGTGGACGACTTCATCGTTGTGGTGATGGGAATTCACTGCCCGGATCCTCTGGCGCTTTGCTTCCTGAACATCACCATCAAATTCAGCTCTTTCATGAACCTGTTCAAGTTCAGCCATGGCACTGTCTAAACCTTCTAGTCCCTATTTCATCAACCGGGGTGGTCGGCTGACCGGGGTTAAGGCCTACACCCAGACTAGGGTTTGGGGTCAGTGCCTGACACGGCTTGGGCTCTCCTGTGGCCAGTGCGCTCTCAGGAGGCGCTGATCGTGGTGGAAGTCTGGAAGGTTGTGACGGTTCCTGGGCAGGAGGTCGATAATCGGGAGTCGCAGGCATGCCATCGGCTGGCAATCTCACAGAAGAAGGGGCGAGGGCAATGTCATGGGGATTGTCGAAGACATCTTCATTCTCTGTTGGCGGGTCGCTGGCTGCAACCTCACTCCCACTGCCAGGGCCTTCCTCTGTGACTGGCTTTGGTGCAAGTTGGTTGCGACTTGCTCCGACACGTCCAGCAAGGAATGACACATGCTTGTCAGGTGTGTCTCGCAATGCAGGCAAGAGGCTGGGATCATACTCACATGTGGTTCGACGGACTGATCTGGCGACCACAAGGCGACCTGATGAAGTGCAAACAAGGTGACAATCAGAAACATCTGACTTCCCCAACCACATGGCCCGAAGCCACCGAGGTTTGCCCTTTGTAGCAGTCTTCACACGTGCCAGGACACATTCTGCAAAACGGACAAGTTTGCCTCCATATGGTGATGCATGCACTCTCTCCCATGGTGTGAGGTTTTGCGTGACACCAAACCGTTGAAGGGTCCAGCTGGCATGACGCCAACACCAGTGATGCAACGGGTCGAAGGTCTTGATCTTGATGTTCAATCTGCCCTCGAGCTCAGAGAGCATTGTCCCTGCAAGTTGTCTGATGCGCTCAATGGCACCCTCTGCATGGTTGCATTGGTGCTCCCCCACTGGGGTTTGTTCAATGTGGGTCTCCATGCCAATGCGGTGCCTGAGTGCCTGGACTGCATTCGCAAGCGCAGTGCATGACCCCTCTGGGTCGGCACGAAGGGTGATTCGTCTGTGCCCAAGGTACGACAGCAGCTTGGTCAGCTCAACTGCCATGTAGTTACGGCAAGCAGTTCCACCTTTGCTCGGCACCGGCCATGCCTGCAACCACTTAGTCTGCGTGTCGTATGCAACCAAGCAGCACAACTTGTCACCCCCATCAACCCTACTGGTATATGCAAAATCAAAGCACAAGACGGAACTTGCACGATGGTCTTCGGTCTTGGCCTCATGCCTGTCGGACCGTGCACGGAAGGCAACACAGTGGGCACACCACTCTCTGTAGGGTGTGTGGGTAAGGCAGTGTTGACGGTATGCATCTTCACTTGGTGCTGTAACATGTTTCTGCTCCACTGGCACACGCTCTTCAGCAGCAGCAAGCTGCTGCCGGGCCTGATGGGCAGCAATCAAGTCCTGGCGGGCTAAGTGATCTCTAATGCGCTTCAGCACAGTGGACTTACCACCGGAACGACCAAGCCCCAGTGACTGAGCAGCTTGCCTCAAAACAGCAAGGGTCGATTCAAGGCTCAACGACACACCGTCAACGACGAGTGTCCCATCATCATCTGCTGCAACCTCGTCACGCAGGGCTGCATCAACTTGCAGTTCGGCCCCGGGATCGGGTGCAACGGCTGCATGCTGTTGTGGCTCATCCTGGTCCATATTTTCAGGCTCTTCAGGTGGTGGTGGCAACACATGAGGTCTGCTTGACTCGGCTGAGTCACTTGCAACTGTCAACCCAAGCTCATCTGGGGAAACAATCTTGCAAAGGTCCACTCAGATCGGAAGCATCAACGATGCTCTCGCACCACTCAAGAATCTCCCACTGATTGGGTTCGGGGCACTTAGCAACAGTGCTCCTGAAGCTGCAACCCTCATGAGGCAACGCCATCGTGATGTCAACGAACCGGTTTCCAAATCCACGCATGCCGAAAACATCTTCACTGATCTGCACAAAGTAATCAGGAAGAGCCAAAGTGCACTTCACAGCACGGACACGGGATGCATCCTGCTGGATCACACGCACATGCAATCGTGCAGCAAGGCTATTCTGCCTGAAATGCAATGGGATTTGGATCTCTCCGTTAGGGCTGCAAAGACTCATGCTTCCATTTTTGTTCACCATGCTGAATCCGGCGCGGTACAACTTCCCAACTGCAAGAAGAGGTGTGGTGATGTGGGGAGCAACCAAGAACGTTTCGGTGAATCCAGGCTGATCACCGAAGCTCAGCTCAGCTCGCCTAGTCCCGTGAACTAGCAGCTGATTCCCCTGGGCATCTTGAAAACCTTCCCATGGCCTTCCAGAGGAAACTCCAAGCATGCTGAGGTTTTGCGGTAGACAAGAGGCGTCAGCACCTGAGTCAATTATGACTTCGATCTCCATGCCATGCTCGGCATTCTGCTGGACCATGCGCACTGATCCACTGGTCGAGGTCACACCCGAAGTGTGCTCAACCACATCACGCTGACACACGCCCGAAGCGTGCTCAGCCACATCACGCTGACACACGCCCGAAGCGTGCTCAGCCTCGCTCTGTGCATCACTCGGCAATGCATTGTGGAAAACGCACCACCTCGATGGCACACAACGTGAAAAGATGCTCAGCGCTTTGCAAAAGAAACCCGAAGCTCCCTTGCTTTGCCTGTCTACTTCGTCTTGGCTCTCCACACAAGAATCACAACCTGACACCATGCGGATCTCACCTCCGGCTGACTCATCAAAGTCATCGAGGTTGTAGGTGACTCGTCTCACCTGGGGCTTTGCAGCAGGTTTCGCCTTGGCAGGGGCAGCTGACACGGCTGTGTCAGCATGTGCAGCGCTGTTATCAGCAACAGCGGCGTCTTCAACCTGTCTGACTCGCTTGGATCGGCAGTCTCGGGCAAAGTGACCCTTTCGGCCACAATTATGACAAGTTTTGTTTGCGGCAGGGTTAGGGTTTGTGCTGGGCTGAGGCCTGGTCTTACCATCCCCTTTCTTACCATCACCCTTACCCTTCTTACCCTTGTCATATCTGCCCTTCTTACCACCTTTATCTCCCTTATCACCCTTCTTAGTCTTGCCTTTGCTTAGCCTATCAATCTCCTTTTGAAGACGGTCGATTTCCATTGGAACGGCTTCACTGGATGCTGCAGGCGCATTCACAAGCACACCACCTTTGCCCTCTGACAGGCCATAAGTCGCTGCAACAGACGCACTCCACTTTGACGAAGAAGCATCATATCGAGCAACCAAACTTCGCAACTCGGCATATGTCCAGGAGTCTTCCATGGTCAAGTTCACATGCTGACGAAGTTGGCCTGTTAAACATCTCAGAAGCGAAACAACCTTCTGATCATCGGACATGGCCTGTGATGCAATCGAGTCATACTCTGCCATCGCCTGCTCAAGCCTAACAACCTGAGTCAGGAGGCCTTGCTTGTTGTCGAACACAGGCCAATTGTGGATTGTCTGCATGAGGGCTAAGGCTCTGGTGCGGGATGAAGGGCGAAGGTCAAGCGAGATCAAGCGGTATGCTTCGTACCCGTTATTGTCAGACACAGTCTTAAGAAGACGCTTCAGACGGTCGTTCAAAAGCGATGCAAGCAGGCCATACATGATGCGTGACCTGTCGAGCTCAGTGGCGCTCAGCTGTGCAGGGAGAACTTCAGTTTTCGGATTCGATTTCAAGCGAGTGAAGTCCACCTGAAACTCCTTATCTAAGGTCCCCAAATACTGCTCAAACTCCCAAGACCATGCTGGCCACTTGATCAGCTCCTCATCTCGGGTCTGACAAGAAAAGGTTGAAGGATGCCTCAACACCTTGCTCAGGTCTTTGGCCGCTAGACCTGAGTAGGATGTGGTCGCAGCGGCTGCTGCGGCGCGGGATTCGGACTGGCTCCTCAGAAGCTCGGTCAACACCTGCTGGTTCTGCTGCATTCCTGCAAGAATCTCCAAAAGACGAGTCTCACCATCTGTTGGACCGGCGCTGCCGGTTGGGCTGTGGACAGGGCTGAGTGCTGGGCTTGCTAGCGGATGTGGCCCAGCTCCATTCCCGTCGGTCATCACTCCCAATCTAAGGAAGTCTCGGACGCAATGCTCGTGTCACTATCTAGATCGTACTCCACTCCAGACGGACCAAGGTTTCTGCTGAAACTGGATGACGATGCTGGATCAGTGGATAACTGAAACTCCACTCCAGACGGACCAAGGTTTCCGCTGAAACTGGAGGACGATGCTTGGAAATTTCTCTCACGCAAGATTTTCTTAGGCTCAAAAGTGAGAACGGTGAAGACTGCTGCAAGGTATGCTTCAAGCAGGGCTTGCTCACCACTCAACAACTTGCAACCGCAAGCAATAATCTCTGGCGCGTTCTGGATCCCTTTCAGTTCGGTTTTCTTCTCCTTCCGCCTCTGCAACTGTCGACGTTCGAAGCTCAGGATGCTCAAGGACGGAGTGCAAGGTTTGCCACACTGAAGCTCGATGTACCACTCAAGAACAGTTTTGCGAAGCTTATCCAACACTCTTTCGTCGTCCCAAAGCTGAAAACACTGAATCTGCTCCTCAAGTTCTGGTGACACCTCCGTGGCTGGTAGGTGACAACACGAGTCTCGAGGAGATTAGGCTGGCAACCGCCTAGCCTTCTTCGGCAAGGCAAACGAAGGCTATGGCTGGAAACTACGGCAGCAACTAATGGGGTTTGGGTCCTGACCCCGGGAGGTAAGGGTCCTGCCTCCCTGAGCACAAGTGAATCCGAGGCCCCAAAGGCTGGATCACAAGCGCTCCGCTACCATGAAAACTTTTGATACTCACGAGCACAGCTGCATCGGCACATGACATGAGACATGACTGTAAAGCTTCTGGGCAAAACAAACCATCCCACCACAAGAAATCTTCACAAGGAAAATACATGGTTAAGAGTCCCATGTAAGACATCGAAATCGTGATCAGCAGTGCGGGCGATTGCGTGGAGATAGAAAGGCTGCCCGCTGGGAACAGAACTAAAATCAACCCCTAAATCACCTAACAACCCGAACCAACGGCGCCGAAGGTCCTTCATTTCTTTTGCAGGAAACGGTGAAGCCTGAAACCGCCCAAGCACCAACTCCATAGCCATGCGCTCGGGGTCGGGCGCAGCTCTGAGCACGAAGGACTTGACCAACATGTGCAAAGCCTTGGCAAGGCGCTGTGCCCCCACTGCCAGCCGCCGACCCCTTGCCCCCGGCTTCCAACGTGTGGGCGAACAAAGTCCGAAGCCGTCAGTGAACGGCCCCGAATCTCCAGGCCACGTGACCTCCACAGGGAGACCTGCGTTCCCACAAGCCTCAGGACGGAAAGGTTCCATTGGAGGGGTTTCAGTCACATGTGCCGACGTGTCGACCTCTCCGGCGAGCTCGTCGCTCAGAGGAAGCACAAAGCCTAACTCACGAACTGCCTCAATTTCTTCGGCGCTGATCTTGTTGAGCGAGCACACACTGAAGGCAATCAAAACGAGTCTTATCCCCTCCCAATCTTCAGTACAGTGGTATCGCTCACGGGCATTGAAGACCAACGGCGAGGTGTCAGACAGCTCATGCAAGTTGCCGTGGAAGGAAGAGTCACCTACCAACCGAGCAACAGAACCTCCGCAATCCTGAACCCAAATCTGACCCCCTTTGAAAGTCGAAATGGCCCACACGGCATTGTAGGGGTATCCATTTCGGCCGTCACGGTGCATCGGGGTCTTGACGTTTTCAAACAGTGAGATAGTCGTGAAGCAATGCTCAGGTGCTTGCTTCTGAACAAACGTGCAAAGGAGCCTCGCTGTCGCGGGGTATTGCATTCTGTGGTGCCTCAAGCCTCCGACTCCCCCTTGCATGTAGCAGCCAACGGTGAATGACGATCCCACAGAAGGTTCCGAGGCTCGAGGGGGCTTTTCCCTGGGCAGCAAAGAAAAGAGATGCATGATATGCGATGCAGTCACCTCCAGCTCCCCCTGGAGGATGGAGCGAGCATAGTCCTCGGGCGGTGACTCAAGCTCAGCCGTCACCGAATCAGTCGCAGTAACCAAACCCTCGCTAGCCCCGGGACTCCTAGGAGGGGAGGGCGGAAAGGGAACCGAAGGAGAACCTACGTCCCGGGGTTCCCTGAAAGCATGCGGGAGCCTTCCAGCCGGAGCCGAAAGACCCCCCTTCCCCGCAGGGGCGCAGGCCACGAAGGCGGATGCAAGAAAGGCACAAAGACGCGGAGGGAGGTGCGCCAGGCCCCCGATGCATCGAGACCTCGGAGCAGGGACTTGTGATTGTGACCACAACGAGGCGGCAAGGGGCCGACATATTGGCCGGAGTCATCCAATCTAGGGAGTCCTGGAAAGCAAGGCACAGATTCGACCCAAAGAGGCAAGTTCCCAAGGAAACGTGTAGGTTTTGAGTTGGGAGCACCAAAGGCGCACTGGAACATCGCAAAAGTGACAGCCCGGCAGCTAGGTATGAGGTCCAAGACTTCAGGCCACATCCAAATGGAACCCGGGATGTCCCCCCCTGGGACGCGCCCCAAGCTCTCAGGATGCACGAAGGCGAAGAAGCCGCCAGCCTCTGAACACGCAAGGGCGACCTGGACAGATTTGCTCACAAAAGAATTGGCAAGTGAAACTTGTGCGGAAAGGGATTGGCGCAGCCAAGGGAAGCCATAAGGAAATTCCATGCTGCGAACAGGCGGAGGATGCAGGTCGCAAGTGTCTGGCCCGAGAAAATGTGTCATATGGTGGAGAACTGAAGAAAACCCAACGGCCCGTGCGGACCAGCGCAAGGATCTTATCCCAGACTAGATCTGAAGAAAGGTCATGTGACACTGAAGCCAACTCCATTTAGCAACATACTCTCGGGAAGCAGACCCTGCACATCGTCTGCTCGAAGGCTGCACCAGAGCATCAAAAGGAAAACCCAAGCCATTGCACGGAAGTACAGCGGGAGCGTCTCCTGACAGACTGATAACTCCAATGCCACAACAGTAGCCACGGTGGGTAGCTCAGCTGGCTTCCTTGGCGGATGCGCAGCTACCAGATCTGATGTGATGCTTCTCAGTGTAGCAACCCAAAGTGTGTCACCTGAAAGAAGCTCTGAATCTCGTACTTTGCCTGCAGACTCAAGCACTGTCAGCGCAGCTTGTAAGGCATCTAACGCGGTCTTCCCGCAGCCAGACTCGTAGAGCTCCTCCGCGTACTCCACAAGATCGCCAGCTCGTTGCGGCCAGTGGTAGCCTTTCGTAGTCGCTAACCAGTCACGAAATGGTTTCCATGCTCTGTACCGATTCCGAAGGGTCTTGCTCCTTCTTGTACCAAACAGACGCTTCCACCCTGCTTCTGGAGATGCTAAAGCAGCGATTTCAGCGACCACTGGGAGCTGTGCCTCCCTCACGAACCCACCAAGCATCACAGCAAAGCGAACTCGAGACTCACTTTCTTTGCGAGCCCTCTCAGAAGCATCCTGAAATTTCAAAGCTGCACGCTCTTTCCTCTGAAGTGACGGCAGCAACGCCAAAGGTTGATCTGAAACAAGCTTTGTATAGGCCGCCTGCAGAACTGACGTTCCAACGCTCTTGCCCTGAACCAGACTTCCGTGGAGATCTTGCAAGGACATGCGCCTCTGACGTTTTGCTGCAGTGCCCATCTCTTGTCTCCAGTCATCTAACTGCTTCCCAAATCTCTTAACCAAATCATCCCCCAAATTAGGCTCAACAGCCTCCAGAAGTTCACATGCTTGTTGAAAGTCATCGAACGCACACCATAAAAGGTCAACGCGTTGAAAGTCTCTCTGCAGCAGCGCTCTGATGTCTAGAGGCAGATCTGGCCACTCCATTGTACCTATGGTAGAGCTGCTAGCGAAGCGGCCCCATCCTAACTGAAAATCTAACGGGGCTGACCACTGAGACTGAGAAGCGAGCGCGGAGCAAGCATGAACCATCACAAGGAAGAAATTGTGCAAACTCACAGATACTGAAAACAAAAATCGGAATATCAGAAAACCGAAAAACATCACCGAGGCATAAAAGCCAGCATGACAAGACGTAAATCACAACCAGCCCACCCCCCCCTCAGTCGTCCCCCTCCGTACAGCTCAACAGGGCGGAGCCCGGTATCGCTAGTGCTGCCATGTGGTGTGACCCTGAGCACGGGGCATGGGCCTGGGATTGGGTCTGGGAGCAGGGTCTGTGGGTGCTGGTAGGGTAGGTCTGGGGTCAGTGTGTCCCCGGTGCGATGATGCCGGAGGTCTGGTCGATTGAGGATCATGTCGTGCCGGTCCCGGTGCTGCCGAGGACGAAGCGCGCGATGTTCTTGGAGACTTGGGTTTGGCTTTGACTGCGATGGTCTTGGTGACGATTAGTTGGTTTTCTGCTTCCTGGAGTTCTTCAAAGGTGCGGCGATAGTTCTTGATGCTGTCCAGGCGTCTTCTAGGATCTTGTACATGCCGTTTTCAGTGATCTGTTGTCTGTCCATCATGTCGATGAACTCGTAGACGGTGCAGCCTGGGCGCTTTGTTGGAACTGCCAGTGAAGTTGGTGTGAACCAATTCAGCGCTTCGGAACTGCGTATCATGGTGTCGCCCTTGGCGTCCTGAAAGCTCTTGAGGAAGGCTCTGAACAGGTCGGCTTGGTGCAAGTGTTCACGCAATTTCAGTGCGGTGGAGTTGATGTCGAAGATCTTGTGTATCGCGTTGATAGTGATGGAATTGCTTGGAGGAACGCCCTAGTTATAAGTATTAAGCCAACTTAGTATGTAGATGACGGACTTGTTTTGTAGTTGTTCGATTTGCCATAAGTAGACTTAGACCACTTAACTTCGAAGGTTTGTGACGAACTTATAAGTACACCTACGGGCCACATAGCTAAGTGGGCTAAGTGGTTTATCGGCCCCGTGGCTAAGTGGGCCAAGTGAGTCGTTGGCCTACTTAGCTAAGTAGGCTAAGCGGGCCCCCTGACACACCATATCACGCAGAGCAGCAAATAGAATGTGGCAACAAGGTCCGCGAAATCGCAACAATGCGATTCAAATAAGCGATTTGCAAAGTCTTAAGAGCGGCAAGAAAGAAAATCATGTTG